AGGGGCGTCATGTCGGGGCCCTGGTGCCAGGGCTGCATGAGTCCCCTTATGACTCATCCGGGCCCCTCTCTCCTTGTGTCTGAGACCACCATTTAAACACCTGGGACTCCCCTTAATACCGTACCCCATTAGAGCTGGGCCACCATCATGGCCCTCGGGCCTCTTGCCGCTGTCCCTCTGGGATTACCAATGTGTCAGAAGTGGGCCCTCCCCTGGAGCCCCATTACACCTGGGCTGGGTTTCCTCACCAGCGTTACATCAGCATCCACCGGACCCATGCCTGGAACCTCCTAGAACCATCCTGATGGTATTTCTAGGCCTCTTTATACCTGCCCTGGATTCACTATTAACTGAGTTACTCACTTTTCTCTGGATCACCAATAAGCCAGAGCCCTCTGTCACAGGAACACCATTATGGATGAGCTCTGCCCCCTCCCCTCCCCTATGGCCACCCATTTTGGCTGGGACTATGCTTAAAGCACAGCTGAAGTCTCACCTGTGTTTCTCTTTTCTGACTGAGATTCTCTTTGTGGAAATTTGGGGCCCTCCTCTTACAGTTGCCATGGTTGGCTTAGGCCCCATCCATGTCCCTAAAACCTCCATCATGCCTGGCCTGAGCCCACATCCCTTTTTGCCTCTGACTATCATGACAATTCTAGGCCCTTTTCCCTCTGGAATCCTGATTATGGCTGAGCCTGGCCCATATCCCTGTGGGTGACTGAACCCTGGCCCTGTCACTCACCCAGGAAGCGGACCAGCCTCCTCAGTGGAGGGCTGAAGCGACAGCAGGCCCCAGACACGATGGTGCTCTCCCCAATGATGGGGATGGCAGAGGGTGGTGTGGGGAAAAAGGCACGAGCCAGCTCCCCCAGTAAGATCTGTGGGTGAGACCAAAACAGGGTCTTCCTGGCCTTCAAGCCCAGCCCTCTACCCAGCTCCCCTTGACCCTCCTGCCTCCTTGGGAGGTCCTCCCACAGTCTACCAAGGCTACCCCAGTCTCACCGTGAGGGTGGGCCCAGCGGTGACCAGAGCATAGATAAGTGCAGGAGGTGCTCGGCTGGCAGCCTCAGGCCCCGGGTAGGGCTTGGCATAAGTACTGTCATAGCAGAAGAAGCCCTGGGTGTGCACAGGGAAGGTGTCTGTGAACTCCAGGCGGTAAGCAAGCAGGACCACCACGCCCAGCAGCACTGACTGCCGTCCAGCCAGAGTGGAGACAGAGATGGAGAGAGACACAGAGAGAAGAGAGAAGGTCAGGCCCGAACTGGGGACATGGAAAGAGAGAGACACACACATGCAGACATGGAGAGAGACAGAGAGAGAATAGGCGGATAGAGAGTGATCAAGACTGAGGGAGATAAAAAGAGTGAAATAGATGGATGAGGGTGGGGAATGGGGCCAGAGAAGGGTCAGGGTTTGGGAGATAAAAAGTAAGAGATGGAGAAAGAGGCAGAGCTAGAAACAGAGGGAAAACAGAAATGGAGGGGGGAGGTGAGAAGAAGAAAGAGAAAGATAAAAGGCAAAGAAGAGAAAGAGAAGGGACTAGAACAGTAGAATAGGGAGAGAAGAAAAGAGGAAATGGGCTGGGGAGAGAGAGTGAGGACATGGCTGAAATCTAACCAGAGAGACTTACAGAGACCATGGGTGGTAGAGTGACAGACCACCAGGGAAAGAATTAGTCCTACTAGTAGGAGTAGCAGCTACCACAGGTATAACCTTACTATGTGCAGGGTGTCATACTAAACCTCTTCTGTCAATGAATATATTTCACTTTCTAAATATGCCCATTTGACAGAAGAGGAAATTGAGGCTCAGGAGGATATGTAAGATGCTCGGAGTCCTGAAGTAAGGATGTGAAGAGTGGGATTGGAACTCTGGAAGTGCTACTTCTGAGTCCAAGCTCATAAACACTTCTCAAGAGAAAGGGAATAGAACTCTCATGCCCCAGAGACAGGGAGGAAGCGATCAGGGAGAGAGAAGTCAGGCCTGGAGCCAGGCAGATAGAAAAATAGGTCCAGGCAGGGATTGGCCAGGATGAGGGAGACTGAGGTTGGGCAGAGAGGGGACAGGAAGACACGTACACCCCGTCCCCACTGAGGGTCTGAAGGAGGTAATGGACTTCTCACCTCCACAAAGACAAAGCAGGGAATGATGGAGAAACTCCTCTTCAGCTGAGGTCTCCCTCCTGCCATGGTGAAGGCCTGGACCTGCGGAGGTGGGGAGGGAGTAGGGTGGCCAGGGTGGGGCCTAGGGGAAAGCTCAGGTCACTGGCCCCTGGAGTCCTCTGGCCATGCCTCTGCACATCCAGGTCTTAGCCCTGCCCCTGCCCACTGGAAACACTTAGCCTCCCCTGACACAGCCCACTCAACTCAGCTTGCTGGGGGGTGGGGGGACTCCAGAGATTCTCTAGTGGTCTTCACTCCCTATAACCTACATAGAAGATTCTGACCCCATACCTTTTAGGAGGGACACTCCTCCTTACCAAGCAGGATCCTTCCCCTTGGCCTTTAGAAGAGAATTCTCCAGCTTAATGGGGACACCTCTCCCCACAGAAAAGGATTCATTTAGAAGGGTTCTCACACCCACCAGTTTTTAGGGAATCCCATCCTCTTTCCCTACATGCTTTACAGGGGACCCCATGCTCCATCTCCCTCACCCTGCCAGGCCCTTCCCCCAAGCCCCTTCTCCCTTGGCCCACAGGGGCTTTTCTCCTGTGCCTATGGTTCACGGATGATAGCCAGGTCCCACTTCCCTCCCAGCTGCCTCTCCCTCTCTGCCTCTCCCTCTCTACCTTTTTCCAGCCCACTGCCTCCCTGTATCATTAAGGGGCTATCTGCCCATCACATGCTCCCTCTACCCCTAGCAGTGAAGCACTACTAGAGTCATTCTCCCAGACTGGCCTCACCTGTGAAAGAGCCCTATGGCTTCCCACAGGTGGCCGCCACTCCCGCAGACTCACAGCCGCTCCTGGCAGTCAGCAGGACAGTGATGGTCACCCCCATTGCACAGATGTGAAAACTGAGGCGCAGGTAGGTGAGGGCAGGCACTCTGGGTCCAGTGCTCCATCCACGAGGCTTGCTCTTCAGTGTGACATGTGGGGTGAGGGTTGCTAGAGGTCCCAGATGTCTATCAGGCCACAGCTTTTTCACCCTCCCAGAGACACAATCAACCACAGTGGTACCCACAGAGTACACAACTCAGCCACAGCCTCCATCCCACCCCCATCCACACACACACCATGGCCCAGCATTCATCCATCTCACCAACTTGGACCAAGTGCCTGCTGAATTCCAGGCACTGTACTGAGTGCCAACCGTGTGGTGAACATGACAGGCCCACTCATTTAGACAGGTGCCCACCACCCACCACACACATAACTGAATACTCATGCAGACACACATCACACATGCACACTGCACAGTGTGCACACAGCCTGTCACAGACACCCACACAGATCAAACAACTTCCCCCCGAACACAGTCACAGGGACACAACAGGAGGTCCTCCACACACCTCACAGCTCCACACGGCCTCACATGAGCACTCAGCCCTCAGGGACTAGGGTTGCCAACACACTTAAGAGTAACATCAAAAAGAGAGTCACCACACATAATTGGGGGGGTCACCGAACCGGTCATAGTGTCACACCCCCAATTACAAGGCATTCAATGACAACCACACACATTAACAGTTCTCATTCACATTGACAGCCATGGGAGAGACAAGACCACAGCCACATGGCCACACAAGGGCACATACATAGACCATGACAGAACCACACAAGAAAGGCGCACGATCACAGCCACATATTAGAATGCAAAAATGCCCCCCCACACACCATCAGAAGGAACACACAACAGCAGCCACACAATGACAGTCAAACACACAACCATACAGACACCAAAACAGTGACACAATCACAGTGATAGCCATCACAACGACACAACCACACATACACCATCAGTGATGCCCATGATGAAAGCACACAATGACAGCCACAGGAGAGTCACACACACACCACACACACTCCAGAAGCCACACAATCACAGCTATACAGACACACAATGACAGTTACACAACCACACATATAATTATAACCATACAATCCCAGTCACCCTCACCACCACCCCTTGCCTTCTCAAGCTCGGGGTCCCCTCCCATACTCCCCTCCCTAGCCCAGTCCCCAAGCTCCAGCTCCCCGCTTCCCCTCCCTCTTCCCACGCTGGACCCGCAGGGGACGAGACCAACTGGATCCGAACCGGGACCAGACAGACCGAGGGTCGGAATTCCGCGAGAGGGGGTACAGGGGGCGCTTCAAGCCCTTCCCCCTCACCGGGTCGAGGTTTCTGCCACCTGAGCTCGGGTTTCGTCTAGACGTCACCGGCGCTGCTGGACGGACAGACTGACGGCTGGCCTGGCGGACGCACAAATGGAGATGCAGTCGGCCAGGCTTCGAGCCGCGCAGACTCCGCGGCGGAGCAAGGGGCGGGCCCTTCGGACCCCTTATTTGCATAATATCGTGGGCGGGGCCTTCAGAGCTCTTATTAGCATGATAAGGGCGGGGCCTCGGCCGTTTTGGGGGGCGGGGCGTGTTAGAACAGATTGAGGGGGAATGAAGGACCGAGGTTAAGAGGGAGGGCTCTGGGTGAGGGGAGGGCTTAGGGGAAGAGGAGGGCGGAGTGTGTGAGCGCAGCCCTGAGCCGCTACACTCCCTCTCTGGGCCTCAGTTTCCCCATTTGGGCAGTAGGGGCAGCAGGCCAGACCGCCAAGGCCCCCTAGAAAGGAAGGCTGGTGGCTAGTGTGAAACAGCTTATCTAGGCACTCATATCTGGACAGATCAATCCCTGACCTGTAGTGTACTAATCTGGCCTCACACTGTCCTCTGACCCTAGGCCCACACATCCCAAACAGTCCCTGGGGTGTCCATGCCCTCCCCAGCACTGGGGAGTAAGTGAGGGTGGGTCATTCTCAGGCACAAGAAGCAGCAGGAGCAACAGTCCACAGGTGAAGGAGGGTCTCGCCTAGTTTATTTTCTCTCTGGAAGGGTCTTCGGGGAGAGCAGTCCCAGCTGCTCAGGCTGTGAGGAGAGAGGATGGGTAAGGGCCAGGTCTGGCCCAGGGGACCCAGGGATGGCAGCCAGAGTGCAGGAACCCCGGGGTGGGAGCTGGGAGGGCCCATACTGTGGGATTCCAGGGCTGGTCAGGAGGGGCAGGGTGGGTGGAGCAGGGGAGGATCCACACCTGGTGGGAAAGAGCAACTTTTGTTGAACAGTGGCTGGGAAGGGTCCTGGTCTGAGTCGGTGTCAGAGTCCCAGGAGTGAAGTGGAGGGCTCAGGCATCGGTGCCCCTTGTAGCCTGCAGGAGGGACAGGTGCCATTCTGGCTCTCTATGCATAAACCTTGAATGTGACCCTTGAAAGACCTCTGAATTTGGGCCAGTGTCCCTTGAATATGTCCCTTATGTGACCCAATGTGACACCAAAGTATGACCTCAATGACCCTTGAATTTTACACCAATGATCCTTAAAAAACACCCTGGTGACCCTACCCTGAGTGACCCCTAGATGAAACCTCCAGGGACTCCTTAATGTGACCCAGATTAAAATCCAACAGATGTGACCTCCAAATATGGCGTCTGAACATGACCTCCATGTGTGAAGCTGGAGAATGGCCCCCCACACACACCCTGGAGCATGGCTCAGCCCCCCTCACCCCTGAGGCTCGAAGCCCTGGGGCGGATTCCCGAGGACATGGTGAGGCCATCAAAGGAGTTCTGTAGCATGTGCACAGCAGACCTGCAGGAAGATGGGGAGCTGGGGGTCCCAGGCAACTCTGGACTGCTTGAGGCTGGGGCAGGGGATTGTTGGGGGGCAAAGGAGGAAGGGAGTCCTATTTGGAGATGGAGGTCTGGACTCAGATGGCTTCCAGGTTCTAGTGGTCACTGTTTGATCAGCCTGGGAGCAAGGCACGGCAGAGGAGGGTCAGGGGGCAGAGGTCAGAGGTCAGAGTGGGAGCTGGGCATCACCATATGTCACTCAGCTCCTTCTGGAGGTCATTCCTCCTAAAGCCATTGCCTCCTAATGGCATCTCCTCTGTCTCCAGCCAGTTGGATGTCTCACACTCCTGCTGCTTCATCTTGGTTAAGACCTGGGGCTCAAAGAGGGGTAGAGGGAATGAGAGAAGAGCAATAGTAATAATAATAATGATGGTGCAAGGTGACCATTACATGGCACTTATTACATGCCAGGCTGTCCTCAAAGGTTTAACAGTTTATACAGCTACCCCTTCAGGTAGCGGTGTGTGTGTTATACCCATTACACAGATGAGGAAAATGAGGCCCAGAGAGGTGAAGAAACTTGCCCACAGTCACACAACAGTAAGTGGCAGAGCTGACATTTATGTCCAGGCCTTCTGGCTCCAGTCCAAGGGTGGAGGCCGGTAGAGCTCCCCATATCCCCAACTCATGTGGAGCCTGTCCGCCCCTCTCACCTTACGGCACTTCACCTGGGTCTTCTGCATCTTCTGGATGTTCACCAGGTTCTCAGTGATCTCTTCCTCCTGTGCCTCTGTGAGGGGAGAGGACTCAGGGGCGACAGGCAGCAGCAGGACAGCCTGCACCCCCCACCCCCTGTGAGCTCCAGGCACTCACGGAGCTTCTGATAGATGAAGGTCACCTCCTCCCGAACCAGCTCCAGCTCTTCCCACAGGAATTTCTTGCTGAGGGGTTAGTGCAGCCTAGACTCACAGTCCCTGCCCAGTCCCCAACTTCCTGGTCTCCCAATTTGCCCACCTGTCTCTCCAAACCTCCTCCACCTCCTCAACCACGCATTCCCCCTAGGCTCTGGTCCCTCCCCAAGTTGCCCACCCACCCT